CCCCAAGAGCTCTCAAACAAGAGATGTTCAGGATCCATGGGCCTTCTTCGTAAGAGCTCAGGAGCTTTTTTATGTACGATCAGGACACGGCTTCCACCACTTGTCCCTTCGCAGCCTTCCAAGTTGGTTGCTCCAAAACACACAGCTAATATGTGACAGAACCAAGATTCAATCCCCAGGTGTCCCTTTCTAGAGTCTCTGCTTGTTACAGCTACAACTCAGCACCTCCAGGGTCCTGGCCAAAGTGATTGGACACATGGGGCTCTTGATGAAATGTGGATTATGGAGGGAGGAGCAGGTTTGCAGACGAAAGTCAAGAGTTTGGCGTGGCAATGTGATACTNCAGCTGGAGATGTGGAGTAGAGTTGAGTTCAGGGTTGAGATGGGGCTGGAGATAGAAGCTTTGAGGCTGCACTTGGAACAGCACACAGTGAACCCCAAGTGCACTGCCCGTGGCCACGGTCTCCCTACGTCTCCCCTTGGCTTCTGCCACAGCCCCCTCTCTGCAGAGGTGTAGCTCAGGTAGAACCCAGACCACATAACACTATCCAGCCTGGCCCCTGCAGCTCTGGCTCCACTAAACAGGGCACAAACCCTCTTCCAAGCCCACCCCCAAATCAGGAACAAATGTCCTCACCTGCGAAGTTCACTCAAAGTTTTTCCATCAGCAAATGCTCAGGACAAGCCCAACAAGCCCAACATCAGAAGTGCTCACAACCCAATAAATGGAGTCCCTGGGGACACAGCCAACATCCTCCTGAGAGAGGACTCTGGTCCGGCCACATGGGAAGGGAGAGAAGAGGAAAGGCAGGAGGCTAAGTGTAGCCCTTGAGCCCTTGAGTGGGAAAAAGAGCCTGCCTGGGCTTGCTGTGAGCTCAACCAGAACCCCTTGCTTTGCAGGCAGAAAGGGCTGCAATTGGAGGAGTTGCAACCACGGTATTCGGAATTGTGGGTGCCATTGGAGTCGCTGCTTTAAGTAGGATACAGCAAAAGCAGTGACAGCCTGAAGCAGCCACAAAATCCTGTGTTAGTAGCAGCTGTGGACACCCCAGAGGGGACAGGCCTCCCCGCTCCTTGTCTTCCTGACCCTCGCTCTCTGTCTCAGGCTGTCTCTAGTCCTTCCCTCTCTCCCCATCCCTGTCTCAATGGCTGAGGATGGTCTCATTATAACAAGATCCAAGAGTCAATAAATGTACCTACCTGTTCCTCCAGAAAGGACGTCCACTATGTCTTTGTAGACTTCTTAGCAAGCAAGAAAGAAAGTAACGTTGACTGAACACCTGTTGGGTAGTAGTTCCAGCAATTTCTAGCTGTGTGGCCTTGGGGAAAGCGCGTGACTCTCGGAGTCTCCATTGCATCCTCTCTGAGATGGGGGAAATGATGCGTGTCAGGGGATGGAGGGAGGATCCCATGAGATGGTGGACAGAAGGTGCCCAGCCCATGTCTGACATGCAGCCGACGCTCAGTGAATTGTCCACGTCATTCTACAAAGACCTAACATCGAAATAATTGTGCATCAATACTTTTATCTGTGCATCTCGGGAGGCAAAAAAAATTCTTTTTATATTAATGAATTAATTTGACTCTCGAGTGGAGGAAAAAATGTAATTCCCTCCCAGTAGAGTGCGACTAACTCCCCTTATGACACCTAAACATCCCCCAGCATCCTTCCAATTACCTCCTTCACTTAGTCCCCCTTTAAAAAAGTTTTTTTTTCTTTTTTAACTCGAAGATCTACTCCTCACCCCCCTGTGACTATCAGATGGAGTTATATTATCTTTCCACGCCCAGACTTCCCCGGCTCGTGCTGCCCCTGCATTCAGTGCTGAGAACCAGCCACGTCAGAATATCTCCTGCTGCTTCCATCGTGCCTCTGCCCTTGCTTGGCCTCACCAATGCCCAGGTCCCTGTCTTTTCATGCTCCCGCAACCCAGCCTGTGCCTACTGAATGGCCACTCCATATGACTATCCTCCGGGGTGGTCACCACACCCACCACCACTGTGGCTTTAGGACTGGAGACATCACCCTCCCCTGGGCTGTGCTTTCCCACACAGGAGACGCTGCTTTGCTCGACTCCTGCAGCACAGCACAGAACAGGCTGTAATGATGAACAAGACTCCCCTAGAAGCTCAGGGCTACTGGAAGTTTCAAGTGCGAAGTGAACAACTTCTAATTACTACAATAAGGGGACTTTGCTCAGATTCCCAGGCTGAAATGCCAGGCTCCACTTGGGAACTTCAAAATAGATTTAAAAATGATTTCAGAAACTATTTTCATTTCTGTTTCCTCAGCAGTATTTAAAATAATTTATGACTTGCTGTATTTGTCTTGAGAGTGAAATTGACTGCACAATGTAGCCTTTATGTCATTCTTTGTTTCAACAGTTTATATCTTAATGTCACAAATAAACAAAAGTCTATGAAATCCCACAGCAACTATGCCAACTCAGGAATATTTTGTTGGCACTTATTCTTTTTTCTTTCGTCTTTTCATATGAGAACTTTACAATTTGTAAGACATAAAGAATATTTTAAAATAATTCTTAGATTTCTGGTCACAACACTGGGATAAGTACTCACACTGGAAGTGCAGCATAGAATACAAGGAATAAAAACATAATAATGAAGGAAATTGAAACAGGATGGAGGCAGGGAGTGGGAAGATGGGTCACAGCCGGACATGAGGATGAGTCAGCAAAGGATGCAACAGAAGTGTTCCCGAGTGCTCTTTGCTCATGTCTTACAAGATATCTAGGTTGAAGTTAAGTGCATAGGTGAAGAATTACATGTACGACTGAAAAAAGAAATGTTATTTAAAGGTTTATCTACACAACAGCTACTCTACAAATTATCTTCTCTCTACCTTACACTCAGAATTCTTACTTTTTGGGGAGGGGAACAGTCTAACAAGTCAGCTCCCTTCTTGCATAAACTTAAACAAATCACACCCTGTTTTTGTTTTCGTGCAGTTTCCCATCCAGGGGGAAGAAGTTTTGGGAAAATAGTTCTATGTATACTGCAGAATAGGAAACACCCTTTGGCTTCATTATGAAATTCCACCTAGCCATTCATTCCAGCAAATAAATCAACAACCAGGATTCATCACATCAGTTTGAAACACAAGTAGCATGAAAACTAAGATTGATGGAGAAACTGATCCTGGTATAATCAGAAACAACTAAGGAGTGTAAGATAACTTAAGGAAAAAAACTATAAAATTACAGTCTTTCAATATGTGGTAAAACATAGTATATGCTTATAAGCAAGAAGAAAAACAATTAGAGGAAAACAAAGAGCTCTTTAGAAACCGTATATATTAGAAAATCTAGAGTGACTCTCATTCCCCCCCCCAAAAAAAAAAAAAAAATATATATATATATATATGACAGCTATTTACAAACCAAAATAGCTCAGAGATATAGGCAGCTATTTACAAACTAAAATAGCTCAGAGAGGGCTCAGGGCCCATTAAAGGATTTGCAGCCACACAGTGGAGAAGGAAAGATGGATGGATGGAAGGAAGGAAGGAAGGAAGGAAGGAAGGAAGGAAGGAAGGNGAGGAGTTGCAACCACGGTATTGGGAATTCTGGGTGCCATTGGAGTCGCTGCTTTAAGTAGGATACAGCAAAAGCAGTGACAGCCTGAAGCAGCCACAAAATCCTGTGTTAGTAGCAGCTGTGGACACCCCAGAGGGGACAGGCCTCCCCGCTCCTTGTCTTCCTGACCCTCGCTCTCTGTCTCAGGCTGTCTCTAGTCCTTCCCTCTCTCCCCATCCCTGTCTCAATGGTTGAGGATGGTCTCATTGTAACAAGATCCAAGAGTCAGTAAATGTACCTACCTGTTCCTCCAGAAAGGACGTCCACTATGTCTTTGTAGACTTCTTAGCAAGCAAGAAAGAAAGTAACGTTGACTGAACACCTGTTGGGTAGTTCCAGCAATTTCTAGCTGTGTGGCCTTGGGGAAAGCGCGTGACTCTCGCAGTCTCCATTGCATCCTCTCTGAGATGGGGAAAATGATCCATGTCAGGGGATGAAGGGAGGATCCCATGAGATGATGGACAGAAGGTGCCCAGCCCATGTCTGACATGCAGCAGACGTTCAGTGAATTGTCCACGTCATTCTACAAAGACCTAACATCGAAATAATTGTGCATCAATACTTTTATCTGTGCATCTCGAGAGGCAAAAAAAATTCTTTTTTATATTAATGAATTAATTTGACTCTCAAGTGGAGGAAAAAATGTAATTACCTCCCAGTAGAGTGCGACTAACTCCTTTTATGACACCTAAACATCTCCCAGCATCCTTCCAATTACCTCCTTCACTTAGTCCTCTTTTATAAAAGTTTTTTTTTTTTAACTCGAACATCTACTCCTCACACACCTGTGACTGTCAGATGGAGTTATATTATCTTTCCACGCCCAAACTTCCCCGGCTCGTACTACCCATGGGTTGAGTGCTGAGAACCAGCCACGTCAGAATATCTCCTGCTGCTTCCATCGTGCCTCTGCCCTTGCTTGGCCTCACCAATGCCCAGGTCCCCGTCTTTTCACGCTTCCTCACCCCAGCCTGTGCCTACTGAATGGCCACTCCATATGACTATCCTCCAGGGTGGTCACTACACCCACCACCACTGTGGCTTTAGGACTGGAGACATCACCCTCCCCTGGGCTGTGCTTTCCCACACAGGAGACAGCTGGTTTGCTCGACTCCTGCAGCACAGCACAGAACAGGCTGTAATGATGAACAAGACTCCCCTAGAAGCTCAGGGCTACTGGAAGCTTCAAGTGCGAAGTGAACAACTTCTAATTACTACAAGAAGGGGACTTTGCTCAGATGCCCAGGCTGAAATGCCAGGCTCCACTTGGGATTTTAGAAGCATCCATACCTGCCTTGCTCCAGGGCTACCTCCAGATTAGAAGCCTGGCTGCTCTATCCAGAGTCCAGGCCCGATAACCAGAACTGGAAAAGAAGGAAGAGGCTTTCTCCCTTCCTGCAGTCTGAGGCTCACCTCCCCAGCCTTCATTACCTGCCCAGGATCAACTGTCCCACAGTGAGGGACAGTGGGATGATCCAGGCCCCTCCAGGGTGAACTGGCTTCCACACTCAGGTCAAATCCCCCTGTCGGGCATCTCAGGTGTCCATGTACCTGCCCTTCCCTCTGATTCTCACAGTTTCAATTGTGGTTATTTTACCAATGTCCCTCTCCCTACCACAAGTGCAGGAACGGTTTAAGTTTCGGACCATTGGGATCCTAGAATCCAGCAGTGTGGGAGGCCGCAAGCAGTCAGGAAATGTGGGACGTGGGAGGACTTGAAGACAATGCACACCCACAGGTTTCATGGAATCTCCTGCATTCTACCAGCAGGAGGGCCAGTCCATGTTTCAGAGCTTTGAGGAAAGCAAGAAAGGCTGGGGCTCTGTGCCCACCCTCAGGAGGGGCTGGTCCAGGGCGGAGGCAGGAGGCCAGGGTATGGGGTCCTTGTCCCTGAAGGCCGACATTGGAACCATGAGACTGTCACCCTCCCTGTTTGCTTTGCTCTCTGGGCAGCTCCAGGCGGCCTCTTTCCTTGAGACTTTTCCAGAAGACAGCATGCTCAGTCCCCATGTATACTCCACTGCTGCCTGAAAAACAAGAGACAGAGGCTAAGTTCCCTGAAGAACTCCCCAGGTGTGGGCAGCTTTCCAATCATGAAAACCTACCCCAGGGGCAGTCAGCTGGCATTGTGCCTGAACGACGTGTCTGCTGTAACCTATCTTTATATCCGATCACCAGATGTTTTTCTAATTAACATACTGCATGTGGGAAATGATTTTTCCTTGGAAAAAAATAAAACTTGATCACCACCATAATGAGAGTCTAGAAATGATCTCTCACCGGTGAAATCAGTGCTTTTAATGAGACGTGGATTGGGTGAATATTTTAGAGACCTTTCCCACTCCCTTAGGGACACAATATGAGAGAGGCCTGGAGCTTGTGTCTTTAGGGACGGCTCCTGGATGCACCAGGCGTGGCCAGCCTCTGCACTGGATTTTCAGTTGCCTAATGGTAACGTTTGAGCAAAGGAATCCTTTCTTGATGGACCTTTCATGCAAGGTGTGTCCACAGCATCTAGAAGGACACAGGACTGTGTCATTCAGCTTTCAGAACAGGATAAATGAATGGCTGTGTGCCCCTTTGGTGAGGCAGATTAACAAATGCCTCTGTGTATGGTGAAATTTGCTCTGATATTTGTTTTCAATGTAATTTGAGAGAAAGATTTGAAGTTGTAGGATTGAACTCATTCAAACTTGTCAGTCAGGGCTCGCTTTGGCAACGTGTATACTAAAACTGGAATGACACAGAGAAGATTAGCCTGGCCCCTACGCAAACCTGTCAGTCATTGTTTTCCAGACAGAAACCCGTCAATGTGCATGACCCTGTGATAGCTCAGCTTGACGTGCCACGGAGGGTGACGGGCTGTGTCCCACAGAACGGGTCCTACAACCACAGTGGGCCCCTCACTCGTGCTGGCCGTCACCTCCTTCACACCACAGGCCCTCAGCATGGACGGGGGTCTGGCCAGGAAAGGGGTGAGGTTAAAGAAACAGAGCTCTCTTGCTTCTGTCTCTCCACTCCCGATGCCTTCTCATGAAATGAGCATTGCTGACATGAAAAAATAAATCAAACATCTGGACTCAAAGTTATTATTTTACAAGTAGCAGTGGTAGACTGGGGAATCAGACCTAAGGACAGTCATGAGCACCAGCCTTTAATTCCAGGCACCAAACCTCCCCTGAGACTAGAACCTGGGTCTCCATGGTTCTTGAGGGGCCAAAGGTAGGAGCTGGATCCTGCCCCTCCCCAGCTGCCCCTGTACAGGGGTGTCAGTCATAGACCTTGGCAACCCTCCAAGGGAAACTGCCTGGGCAGTTGAGTTGGAATCATGTAACCGGCCCCATCAGTCAGAGCTGGTTGGCCAGTGGAGCCATGTGATCCAAGGGCAGCCAATGGGTAGGCTGAGCTGTGATGAGCTGAGCCAATCAGATTCTCTCTTGGGAACTAGGCTGGGAACACAGAGCATCAGCTGGGACAGATGAATCTGACCTGATATGGGAAGGGAAGCCAGGTGGGCATGGAGGAGAGACTCAGGGGGTCGTGGCAAGCAGAAGGGGTGAGGAAGCAGGAACGCTGAGGAGCTGAAGTGACATGGCAGAGGAAAGACATGCCGAGGAGGGGGAAAGAATGACGCTAATCAGTGTTGGAATCAGGGTTGTGGGGAGCCCTGGGGCCTGAGTCACGTCCATGGCCAAGACTCCACACACAATTCCAGCCCTGGCAGGCCAGTGGGTTCTGTTCTCATCCATCAGTCCCATCTGTGTCCCCTCTGCCCCTCGTGTATCCTCACACCATGAAAAGAACACAGCCCTCCAAGGGGAAACGGAGAGAAGCAGCGGAAAAAATGAGGATGGCTACATAAGATGGGGTTTTTAAAGGAAAAAACAATGAAGGCTGCATAAGTTGTTTTGAAACAATTGTGCTTTACCACAAGGGTCAGTAACAAGTGTGGCGTCAGCCCAAGGTTAGACCGGCAGCTGCTGGGCAGATGTCCTAGCAGAAGTGTTATTTGTGGGAGGTGGTAATGGCTTTTGTGCTAGGTGGTGGTTTGGCAGAGTCTTGTGTGATACCTCTTGGTATCAGGCATTCGTGCATGAGAATTCTTTCTTCGTGCCCTTCCCCAGCTCCATGTCATTAGGATTTGACATAAGTTACCCCATTTTGACTCTGACAACTTTCACACTCCCAATGGCTCTACCGCCAAATACCATCACATTGAGGGTTGGAGGTTCAGCATATGACTTGAGGTGGGAAGGGAACACACACATTC